GAAAGAAACGAGCTCTTCTCTGTCCGCGGCCCCCAACTTGGTGCCTATGCTCACTTGCTTCTCCGGGCTGAGCAAAGGGACAAGCTCCAACTTCTATGTGGGTGCAGCTATCTCCGCTTATTACCTTGGGGCAGCTCGTCCTTGGAAGCTAGCCTTAAGAGATTCGGCTGTTCCTCTAAAGCACACACTGCCGATCCCTTGAGTGCAGAAGTATAGCACTCTCGGGATGTTTTCTACTCTCCTCGTATCATGCCGACTCTGTTCACCATAGAGTACTTCATGACTTGATGCAGAGTTAACTGGATGGCCCGGAGTGAATGAATTATAGGTCGTCTGAAGATGGCAATATAAGCCGACCTACCATTAATCACCACGAACTCGGCCATTTTCGTGACTTGTGTGTCACCTTGGCCGATGGTAATAGGAAGGTCAATGCAGCCTTCAAAGGTTACAGATTCTCCCGCGAATTCGACTAAGGGCGTCAGACTTTTCTTCAGCTATGTCCTAGTCCATCCTAACGCCGAGTAAGTAATGAGAGATAGGATGTTGTCGAAGCACCTGCGTCGACCAGCACTCTCCTAACCTAAACGTAGACATCAAAGGCGAGATTACCAGGGCATCATTGTGGGGTAGGTGTACCCCCTTCAGGTTGAAGCTCGAGAAGGTAATAGGGGATGTCGACTTCTGCTTTTAAACGGTGTAGACTTCGCGCCGAGCTTCCTTGGCAAGCTCCTTCCTTTTGTTTTCGGATTAACCCCACTTGGGCTGTCGAAAATAGTGTTGATGACCGCAGGTCGGTCAACCTTCCGAGGCGGCGTCCTTGAACGCTTCCTCTCTTCCTTCTTCTCTGTCGAGCTGGAGCCCAGCTTGCCAACATATTTTTTGAAGTAGCCGTCTTGAATCAAATCTTCAATCTGGTGCTTCAACTCCCAGCAATTAGAGGTATCATGGTCGCGGTCGCGGTGGAAACAGCAATACATGTCCTTGTTGCGCTTCTCAAAGCCTCCTCTAAGCTTCTCAGGTTGCTTGTGGAGCTTTTCCAATCCATTTTCCTCGATGTTGGTGAGGATCTCGGAGATCGAAATGGTGGTTGGGGTGTACCTTTCATAAGGCACTCTTCGATTGGAGTCCGAGCTGGATCTCCTGTAATCAAATAAACCCTGGGAAGGTTGGGAAGACGACCCTTTGTCCTTGGACTTAGAATCGGACCTCCCTTTGTCTTGGCCACCTGACTTCCTCTGGTCAGACCTCCTGTCCATCCGAGCTAACTTGGTTTTGAGCAGCTCCTGCCCATCTATGACTTTTTTGGCTTTTTGCAAGACATCAGCAAAGGTTGACGGTGCTTCTTCACCCAGTTTAACAGTCAAAGTCTCGTCGGTCACGTCAGTGAGGAAGTAGCACATGGCCGAGTCATTGGAGCAATGCGCGACCTTAAGATGCTCCTCTTGAAAGTGGGTCACGTACTCTCTCAAAGTCTCGCCTTCCTTCTATCGAATGGTGGTAAGATGAGTGGTTGTCTTCCGATCAGAGTGCCGAGAAGAGAATTGGCTAATGAACTCTTTCCTCAGCTGACTGTAGGTCGAGATCGACCTAGCCAACAACCTCCGGTATCAGATCTGAGTGCTCCTCATGAGAGCAATTTGAAAAGCTCAGCACTTAATGGCATTATCTGCCGCTTGGAAGTTCATGAGGCCTTCAAAGACCTCCACATAGTCTTTTGGGTCCTTCCACCCATCATAAGACTTCATGGCGGGTGTTTTGAACTTTGAGGGATCGATGCCTCTAGGATGTCCGAGGTAAATGGTGATTTACCCATCTCGCCATCATTAAAGGGACTTTCCTTCTTCTCGCACTTCGCCTTGAGTGCCTCAACCTGTTCGTCGAATTTGTGCTTCATCAGGTCGAACTCTTCCCTCGTAATCACGGCCTTCGGTGTCCAACGGCTTATACTTCGACTGAGCCTTGAGATCGGAGTTTGAGTATTTGTGAGAGCAGGATGGAGAGATCCCCGGGCCTCACGAGTCATTCCTCTTTTTATCGACAAGGTGCTTTCAAAGATTATGATCCCTCAAACTATAATCGATC